TACATTGTCCATGCTCGATGCTGTCCAGAGGAGGGCGGTCCGACTGATCGATGACTCTTCTCTAACAGACAGTCTCGGTACTCTTTCGCACCGGCGGGTCGTCGGCGATCTAGCTCTTTTCTATCGCTACACCAACGGGCTTTGCTCCTCAGAGCTCTCTTCCATGCTGCCGCCGCGCGATGTGCCTGCCAGACAGACCCGCCTGACTTCGGCGTCCCATCCTAACCGTGTCAAACTTCGTACATCCAGAACTGGCCGATACGACCGCTCCTTTGTCCCGAGGGTGTCTAGATTGTGGAACAATCTACGGGCGGATGCTTTTCCCAGTTCTGCCAACCTTAGGCAGTTCAAAAATCGTATTAACAAAATTTCTTTGGGATCATCATAGCAGCCGCGGTGTTCCGGCATTTAGGCTTCTGCCTGCGCGGTTGTTTCGATATAAAAAAAAGAAAAACTGCAGTGAAAGTAAACATAGAACCTTGGGAGTATAATATGGTTATACTTATTTGTCAACATAGAACTTTAGTACTATATAAGCCGTTAAATAAAACATAAAATCTCCTAATAGAGATAAACTAAAACATAAAATAAACAAGCTGAAGTATTTTTAAAGTCACAGCCCATAGAAACCTAAAGGTATCATATTGTAGTTAGTTCCTGTTTTTGTTAACTTTCTTTTTCTTAGTTTTTGCACCTTGGTCCGGCAGTACGGCTTTATAATAAATCTGATCGATCAGTGGCATCCAGTTTAGCATAAAAGTCAACGATTCAACTTCATTTGCTGAAAGTGCTACTTTGGAAGTAGTAGTTATCGATTTCACTATACTTTGTAGACTATGTTCCATTGTTTTTTCATTTTGAACTTCACATTCTGTAAAAGAAGTCTCTAAAAGAGAAAGTTTATACTGTACACTGTGAGATGTGGATTTACGAAATTGAAGTGATGAAACTTTAGAGAAGCATACTCTCGATGTAGGGAAGAAACCGTTTGGAAGTTTATAAATAAAATCCTTAAGTTGCATATGTATAATTTTATAAGGTCTATGTGTATTTACTTTTAGAAGGATCCTGATGAGTGACAGAGGATTATAGTACTCTGTTGAACACAGGAGTAGCCAGGCACAGAGTATTTAATTGTAATAATAATAATAATAATAAATGGGCTTTATTTCGTACTTAAGTAAAAGTACAAAAAAGGCGAAGTGTCGCTAAGATTAGCGTTTTTCAACTTAACCTTAACCTTAACAAACAAAAAAAAAACATATATATATATAATAGAACATTCTACCAACAAAAATGTATCCATAATTCTCAATAATTACTAAATAATTAACAACACAGAACAATTACAAGAATAGTCCATATTTCTAGCATTTTGTACTCATCATCAGACCTCGACTTGCAGTTTTAGTTTAAGACTCTTTTTAAAATTAAATAACGTATAGTTTTGGAATGTAACAGGCAGATCATTATATAATTTAATAGCATTGTAGCTGAATGATTTTTTGTAGACAGCCTTAGAATGTAAGGGTATTACTAACATATTTCTATTCCTTGTATTCAGTTGATTTATGTCACTATATCGTGTTAACTTATTATGCAAATATTGTGGTTGTTTGGTAGCTAAGACCTTATGTGTGAGTGTCAATAAGTGAAGCTTTTGCATGCCTTTAATCTGCAGAATACCAAGTTCCTTAAATTTATGAGAAATATGATCAAACTTTCGTATGCCGCAAGAAAATCTGATGCACGAATTCTGAATACGCTGTAATTTGCTTTGTTCACTATATGATAGAGCTGCTCCATATATACTGTCACAATAACTGATCTTTGATATAATTAATGCTTCACACAGTTTCAGCTTTACTGAAGTAGATATTATTTGCCTATGTGGATAAAACTGTTTCAAAATGCAGTATGATGCACTACATAACGAATTTACGTGTTTTTTGTATTTTAGTTCTGTGTCAATCCAGAGTCCCAGGTTTTTACACTCATTCATTATAGGAAGCCGACAATCATAGATTTTAAGGTTAATTTCCGTTTCGATCAATGTTCTTTTGTTTTTTGAGCCAAAAACCATAACTGAAGATTTAGATGGATTAATTTTTAGGTTATGCGAGCACGAGATGTCTACTAGCCTTGTTAAGTCTTCGTTGAGCAATGCTTCTGCAATTTTAAAATCTTTGTGTTGGAAACTAAAATAAATTTGAGTATCATCAGCATAGTGATGGATTGTGCAATTATGGACATATTGATTGAAATCCGATATATATAGAGAGAAAAGTAAAGGTCCCAGTATGGAACCTTGAGGAACACCAAAACTTATAGCAGTTGACTGTGACATTTTCGAAGCCGTTAGGACCTTTTGATTTCTATTTGACAAATAGCAGCTTATCAAATTGACTGCAGCATCAGTGAAACCATAGTAAGACAGCTTAAGTAGCAGAATTTCAGGGTCTATCATATCGAAAGCTTTTGTGTAATCCAGCAGAACTAAACAAGTGATATTTCCTTGGTCAAGGCCTCTTATAACATCATCAGTGACATTGGCTAGAGCAGTTGTTGTACTATGGTTTTCCTTGAATCCAGACTGCATTGATGGAACTATTTCATTACTGAAAATATACTGAGATATTTGTATCTTCATTTCCCGTTCCAAAAGCTTCGAAAATGCGGGAAGTAAGCTGACTGGTCTAAGTTGCGTTACAGACGTGGGAATCGCTACTTTAGGAATAGGTATGATGGTAGCCTGCTTCCAAGCATCAGGGAAACAGGATGTTGATATTGCGTGATTGATTATAAATGTAATATGGTCTAAGAGCAAAGTGAAAATGTATTTCATCATAATGAGTGAGATTCCATCAGCCCCTACAGCATTAGTTTTAATGAATGAGAAACTCTTCGCAACAGATTCTTTGGCAACCTTTTGGAAACAGAATGACTTGGGAAACTTATTGTTTTGATATTTGTTCAGTAGTTCTAATTGCTTTTGTGTCTTGGTTATGATCGGAATATTTGAGAAATGTGAATTTATTTCATCTGCGTCATTGAAGCTATCTGGAAGAGTATTTATAGAGGACTTAATTATATTAAGTTTCCTAAGAGAACTCCATATTGCTTTACTGTTCCTCCCAGATAGGATATATTCCATATAAGCCTTTTTCTCTCTCCGCAGAGCAACAGCAGCATAATTACGGAGTTCTTTATAATAGTTCCAGTGGGCAGTTGACTTACTTCTTTTAAACCTTAGATATGCTTTATCTCTAGCTTTATTGATCATTTTAATATTGTATGTTAGCCAAGGAGCTGGTGGCTTAGTAACTCTAAGTGTTCTCATAGGTGCACAATTATCAAATAAATTTAGAATGTTGCTATTTAAAAAATTTACCATGTCATTAACGCTGTTTAATTGAAAAATATCATCCCAATGAGTCGAATGAAATAAATCATAAAAGGTACGTTCATTAAAGTTACGAAAGTCCCTAAACGTGTAAAACTTCTGCGTCCGGTTGCTTAACGTTTTATGGAGATGACAAACAACAGCTGAATGATCAGATAACTCATGAACTGGTACAACATTGCAGTTTCTTACATTTTCTCCATCTGAGCAGATAATAACATCTATCAATGTTTGTGAGTGGAATATTGGAACAAGGAGGTCGATACAATGCACCGAAGGTATACGTTTTGCTATCGAATCTGAAACTGATCCATTGCTCTTCCAAAAGGGGATCAATATTTGTACGGAGCAACTTCAATTTTATGTGTTCTTTTAGAAAGAAGCCGACACCTCCCCCTCTACCGATTCTGTCCGCATGTATAAAATTGTAATTGGGAATACGGATAGCCGAAGATCCGATATCATCATTCAACCAAGTTTCAGTGACTGCAAATATATCGAAATTTTCAGAAATCACAAAATCCTGGAGTAGGCAAAATCCTGACAATTATTGTGGCCTTCCCAAAGCAGTCTTGTAATTGCAAACGATATAATCGAGTTTCTGTTTTAGGGGACGCAGTTGTCACACCACGGTATCAATTCAGTGAAACGTTGATGATCTTTAACCACCTGACTCAGAATTTTGTAAAGTGCGCTTGCAATGTAGTTTCCCGTCCTCCCAATTAGGTGTTCTGCCCATACTGCACAGTAAACTTGTTTTGTGAGAGATAAGTGTGCGTTTAAGTTATAACTGATAGTTTACTTTAATAAAAAAAACTTGCTGACCTCAGTCTTTGTGCAAGTCAAAAAGTTCTGGAGATCGAAACAGAGAATTGCTTTATCCTTGCTTTCCCTGTCCGAATTTCTTTCCTGCCGACAGATCTTTTTCTCAATCATATGTTTTACATAATTAATTTTTGTTTGTGCGTCACAGCGGTCTTGTTTAGGACCCTGAAAATAAATATTATACTCCGTACAGAAGATGTGACGGTGTAAAGAATGCTTGGCTGGAGTGTTTCCTTTCTTTTTCATCAAGTTGGCATCAAGCTTGTATGATTTTGCTATACTGAGACTTGATTCCATCTATTGTCGACTAGTATCAACACGACAATAATGACATCAATTTTTGGCACAGATTCAATGTGATCTCTTACCAACTGTTTTGCATCTACTCGTATACTGTGTTTTGCGTGCTTTCCTTGCACTGATCGAGCTGGTGTATTCCCACATTTCTACCATTTATATAGACGGTGTAAATACTTTTTTGGCTTATGTTTAATGTTCCCAAAAAATAACTTTTACATACTTGAATTTGCTTAGAATCTATAGTAAAATAAAAATAAAAACTAGCTTTCTCCTTAGAATTGTCTTCACATTTGCCCTTGAGTCTTCTTCCTGGTACCTGCTTAGTAGTATTTGCTAGTAAAATTTTTTTTCTTCTTTTGTGAGCTTATAGTATCCTTCAAAAATGTCTTTCCGTTGATCCTAATGTATGTACTGCAGTTGTTACGACACTGGACACTACAGTCTTTCAAGTTCTTAATAGATAGAGCAGGCGCTACTTTTTTTCGAAAACATGCATACGACTCACACCTGTTTCCTTTTTCTTTGAGCATATTAAGTTCCCATGCAGAAGGATTTCGTTCTCGTTTTCAGGCTCTTCGTTTCTGGACCTTATATTGATATTGATCAAATACTGTTAATAAACTAATACACAACGAAAAGCAAATAAACTTGTGCAACCAACAATAGAAATAATGCGTCATGCAATGGCGCCATCATGAGCATGCGTATTTGCAAGAACGTAAGTTAACTCAGAATATAACCACACAGTTGTATATTAAACATAGAACATTGTACCGCACAAGGAGCGATAATTATATTAAATGGAAATTCTATGTTGTACATAAAACTTTGCGATAGCCACTCGTTTGCTGGCAGATCCAAAACGGCACTTTTGAAAGCGTCAACTGCTTCTTCTGGTGACTGGAACCTTTGACCACGCAGTCTGTTTTTAATTTTCGGGAAAGTAAAGACATCGTTAGGACTTAGATCGGAACTATATGGAGGATCGTTAAATACTGCCTTGTTTTTTGGGCTGTGTGCGAGCTTGCATTGTCTTGGTGGAGGATGATTCTTCTTTCGGGGTTGATTTTTCGAAGCTCGGTGATGACTTTTGGCAAACAAATGGTGGTATACCAATCTGCAGTATCAGTTCTTTGCTCATTAAGAGCAATTGTTGCAATATGACTCGCTTTTGACATAAATGTAGCGACCATCTTTTTCGAAACACTTCGAGAACGCATGACTTTTGTTAGCTTTTCACCCAAACAGCCGACTGTCGTTTATTTTCTGGTTCATAACAGTAAATCCACGATTCATCACCACTAACAATGCTGTACATATTTTTTGAGTTTCCGGAATTGGAACGGTCAAGCTTTTTTTTAAAACAAATTAACCCTGGCTGCTTTCTGCTCTTCAGTCAAGCATCGAAGTTTTCTTGGGTGACTGCCGTTTTTGGTGCACCCACCCTGGGATCGTCGCTAAGACTCACCCGTCCACGTTTGAATTCTCCATACCAATGGGAAATTGTCGCCGGATATGGTGCTTCATTGCCGAAAACAGACAATAACTCAGCAAGGCATTCTTGTTGCGATAACTGTCTCTGAAGGTTGTAATAAATTATGTCACGAAAATGTTCTCGGTTGAGTTCCATTTCTCTAATGACTTGGTGACACTTAAAAATTCACTGTAGTGAGAACACTGCAGGTATTGTTGTGAAACTTTGAATTTAAGTTTACTAAAGAGTGAAGTTAAGATTCAGTACTGTCGTTCGATCCACGCGGCCCACGATGTTTCTATACGCAAATCTTAAAATACGTCACCGTCTCACCGTCCAAGATATTAATTGTAGAGATTTAAAAAAAATCACATTCTTCTTTGCTGCATCTCCAGTTATTGCTATAAGCAGCTCTTTTTATATGATCACGCATCAAACTGTCATCTCTAACATTATGAAGATACCTCATTAAGATCATTGGAAGGTGTTTGAAAAAATCGAAAGCCATTTTCTTAATCCGTAGGCAAATTTTTGACACCGCTTGATTTAACTGAAATCACTATTTCCCTATGAATACTCCAAGAGGATGTTTCAGTTAAGATATTTCGGTATGCTTTATTTCTCAGATGTAACATCACCAAAAACTGTCGCAACTTTTCCTGCTACCACGCCACAACATATTGTCCACCAGACATCAAAGCCGGCTGAGATTACGCGGTGACGAAGATGCTATCTACAGGCAAACATACCGACAAACAAATTAAATCTAGACATGACCTGATAAGCATAACTAAAAAAGGTATGAACACGCTTATATATGACAAAAGGAAAACTTTGTTTAAGATCATGAAAAATCAAAAAACGTATCATACCAAATCCAAAAATTGTTCCACTTGTAAAACATCTCGTCTCAAGAATTGAATTGAATTAATTTGTGACACAACTACATGATCGGTCTGGGTGTGTAGCACTTCATTTTACTGCATATTTCATTTCAACCCACTCTGTGGAATGTAGCTGATAGCATTTCTCTTCATGTTTCAGTACGCTTACTTCACTTTATCAAAGCAGGTTTTACTTTCCATGCATGACAGAGGGAAGTATTGTGATCGCTGGTATCTTAAAATTTGATTTTAGTTAAATTTTATTGATGTCTCGTGAAGTGTACTTTATGAAATTACATGTCGCTTATTTATATTCCTCTATTCTATTAGATTTTCATAACCGAGTAGTGTAAAAAATGGCTTCAGCGATTCTGATATTTGACGTTTTAAAGTGAATACAACCTTTTTGGACAATTTCTAGACAATTTCTGTTTTTGTGGTGATTTTTGGTCGTAGTCAAAACAATTTTTTGCAGCAGATACAATGCCGCACAAAATTTGTCTTACGTCGTTTTTTATGTTCTTGCCATTCCAGCGACTAGTAAAAAAATAAGGAATTCTAAGATGCTGAAGCCTGATAAGGCTCATTTTTGAGTTACATATGTCGGTAAAAATATTCTAAGAACATTTGCTTATTGAGGATGCATTTCCAGTACCGAGTCAATCTACTTGACGACACTATTTTGGTAGAAACTGTTGACATGCTTTTCTATGGATCCTGATTCTAAAATTTTAACTTTTCTACCACTTGTTTAGTTCTTGTACGGTTAACCACCCAACACCTTAATATACGCTATGTGTTGCAAACGCTTTTGTTCGAGTCCAGAAGGCAACTAATTCTCAGTGCAGCTTGAGAAAAGATGAGCAGAAAACTTTATAATCCTTAATCGTCTAATGAAATCCGGTCCATTTCGCTTGGACAAAGTTGGTTGGTTTCCGGTAAGATTTTTCCGCAGCCAGCGATACAAAAGTGTCGGCACTGGGATTTCAAAAAAGGAACATTGCTGTAAATCCGCTACAAACTTTTCCAATATTAACGGTTCATTAAATCTAAAAGTTCCCGCCCGCCCAGCAAAACTAAGAAAACGGTGTAAGAGCTACATTTTAACACATCTAACTTGATAGATACGTTTGCTGTTTTAAAACAAGGAAAACTTATGAAATACCCGAGCTTTCGAAAGCTATACGGAAGTGCAACAATCTCGTTCGCTCGCAATTTAGAGTGAAGCGCTAAGGAAGACTGGTGCAGTATAAAGCTAGAATGAGAATGAAACTTGATTCAAAGGTAATAGAAGAACAATTAAAATTATGTAATGTCGAAATCAGGATAATGTAACATCTAAAATGTATCCTGCTTTTTTTAGCTGACTCATCATTTAGTTCATTGCTTAGGCATTTCAAAAAATGCCTAAGCAGGCACTAATCGACGGCGATTAGGCGATAGGTCATATCAAAAACAGTACCAGGATCTTTGACTTGTTTCTTTTTCATATTTATATGCACCAAAACACCAATTTTAAATCCAAAAACAAGGTTACTGGCGAATTCAATATTTTCTTTACCTTATCTAGCCGAAATCTAGGTGATTTAAGAGTTTTCTGGTTTCCTACCGGAAGCTTTGACTCAATCTTCTTCATTTATATGACTGAGCAAGAGCTTCAAATATATAATAATAATGCTTTTATTTATCCAGGCCTTGCTTTTCATTTCCAACCAAGCCTACAATATAATTACAACAGATAAAAGCTAACATTTAAAAAAACTATAAATATAGATTTTCCGAAAATCCGACTAATAGTATAAATATAAACAATATTGGTGATGAGACATTGGATACATACTTAGACGTGACTCCTTCACTAATATAGGAAAAAAGCTGACAAAAAAACGTAAAGTCCATTTTCATTGACCCTGTCTCAGAAAGTCAGCTCTTAAACCCTGTAGAAACCTTAAAAAACGATAAAAGCCCTGGTTTCGATGGTATTCGATCTGAATTAGTAAAACAAGTCTCACATTAAATTTCTAATCCGTTAAGCTTTTTAATAAACCTAAGTATGTCCAGTACTTTCAAACTGGGTAAAGTAGAACCTATACACAAGACAGGCTATCTTTTAGAGGTTACAAACTATAGACCCATTACACTCACCGTATTTGAAAAATGTTTGAAAAAGTTATAAAACACAGGCTTATGATTTTTTTTTAAAAACAGAACCTACTAAATAAAAACCAGTTCGGATTCAAAACAAACACTTCAACACAAAATGCAATCTGTTTCCTCACATCCAAACTATATAAACTGCTGCAGCAGACTATAATCAGCTATAGGGTGTTTTGCAAGATTCTTGTATCAGATATAGTGCATTCTAGTGAAAAAATATCTTGGTGGAAGAAAACAGATAGTCCAGGTCAATTCTGCCTTCAGTGAAGAAAAAACAGTTATATGCGGTATACCTCCAGGTTTTTGGTACCTTGTTATTTAATATATACGTGAACACTTTGCTAGATTTGCAAATAAAGGGAGCTGTGGTTTATTTTGCTGATGACACCGCTATTCTTTATTCAGATGAAGCGGCGTGGTATAACCTTAAAAGGTAGAAAATTATTGCATTATAATTTCTGATTGGTTCAACCATGAATGCCTCACTATAATTTATCAAAAAAACGAAGTTTATGCCGTTTTCCAATGACAAAAGAAGGCTTGCTGAAAATACTGCTACTGAATTTCAGAAAGTACTTGCGGATTCATTAAAATAGAGTCTACCAACAAAATCAAATATCTGGGCGTACTTTTGGATTCAGACATGAAATGGATATATCATGGTCATACTACCTTAAACTTCTGACATCTGCTATTCAAAATAAAATATCTAAGAGATTATCTGGATCAAAAAAACATAAAATTATTTACCGAGCTTCCGTGGAGTCTAGATTGCGATATGGTTTATTAGCTTTGGGTGAAGCTCAAACCGTTCACTTGCCAGAACATGAGGTATTAGAAAGTCAATATTTAAAAATAATTCATAACAAAACAGACTTTACCTGATCGGCTGTATAGAGTTGCAGAAACTCTTGATCTTTGTCAGTCGTTTTCATTCAGTATTCTTGTATATCTATTTAAAAACAAACATACGTTAGTACCGACATAATATACTCGTACTTATTCGACTAGGAACAAATTTCTAAACTGAGCAAGACTCCTTTGTCTAATTAACAAATAGGACAAAGATGATATACGTATATCGCCAGTCGGTTATATAACTAAAAGGAATGAAATAATTCTTACTTGAAAAGGGACAAGAACAAATTCACAGAGCCATAGGAAATAGGTAAAGTTTTACATTTACATTCAATGTGTCATGTTGAAATTTAAAAAAGTTAGTTAACAATTATATTATATATAATATAAATGTTTAACACATCTATTATATTTTTCATCGATAAAGATCATTACTTTTCTCTGTCTTTGGTATCATTTAAAAAAAATTAGTTATTTTAACAAATCAGTAAACAGTTGGTTAGATAATGGACTTAAATTTAACGGTTTGTATATTTTAATAGCTTTTTCCATAGATATTCAATAAGACATAGGTAAAAATGTGCTAGCAAGGCAATGATAAGTTGAAAGTGTTCGACCTCAATAAATATGTATGTATATTCCCACACTCACAAGCATTTGCTTTTTGTGGTGTTATGTATGTTTCCCATGATTAACATTTCAAAGTATGGTGCAAGTGCAACTTTTTTATATACGTTTTAAATTCAGTCCTAGTGAATGCCGCTCAGTCCCTAAATGAAATACCTTCATTTTCTAGCCTAATCTTATGGAACATTATCTGGATTTATACTGCTGAACGATTAGGTCGGTATTTGGAATGCCTTTTTGGTCCCTACGCACCCTTCTGGATCTGACAATGAGATGGGAAAACCTAGCTTAATGTTATTCGCATCATAAAATAATAAAGGTCATACTTCCTAATTTATCTACCTGCCAGTACCTACACAGGGGCGGAGTTGCAGTTTTGGTTTCAGGCGCTGTACACAGCCGGGGAGCATCTGACGTTTGGAGATACTGTTATTTAATAATAAATAGTCTTTATTAATTTTTACAGAGATTTCGATACTGAAATATATAATATTAGTAACGAAGTCTAGCTACTTAACTAGTCTACTTCACTATTGAAAGGCGGCGCCCAAATAAATACACAATTAAGCTAGAACTGATATATAATTGCACGTCAGAAGCCATATCGGTAATGCATACATAAAATTTTATAGTAATTAACAAAAAATTGTTGATCAACAGAAGCATTCACAAGGTAACGTAATGTAGCGATTCTGCTTTTTAACTTTTAACTACTATACAGAACAAGAAGCAATGAATTTTATATTAAACAGATACCTAACCATTTTTGATATCCATTTTGTAACTATAATCATCCATAATAGTGATGAACAATGATAAACAAAAAAGTTGAAATAAAAAAATGTATGGTTGATCCTACTGCATATCAAACAAATAACGCTTTAGTTTGTAATTTGAACTTGCACATGTTTGGAAGCTTGAATTCTTGTGGAAGCTGATTATACGTCCTGTTATGTATAAACGATTTCTAGAATGGCGGTCTTATGCGAGGTATAAAATTGGAAAAAGCAGGGGGTTCGCATTGGTGATTCACATGTATTTACTTTGCCTCCTGACTGTCTTGTAATCATCTCAATTTTTTGATGTATTGGCCGTGCTAGGCCTCGTGGCAGATCCACCCCTGATTCAAAAGCAAATGCGTACAAAGGGAGTAAGCCCTAAGTAATTGTACAAAAATTCTATTTGTTCCCCTGGTACCTGTATAATTACTGAAAATTCCATTACTAAATAATTTAAACTCAACGGACCAGTCGGGCCCCGAGGTTTACCTGTGTAAACAGAAATTGCCTTTCGGATTAACCACTGTATTTGTATAGGTAAATTTCTGGTAAAAATTTAATTAGTAGCTTTTGCACGCCTGCAGCATTCAAATACTAGGCTAATGAATATATTCTACAACTGCAGACAAGCATTTTGTTTATTTAACTTATCGTTAAGCTTTCACGTATAAAGCGCGTATTATTTTAATCGCTTATAATTTAAAATTGGAGTTAGCACACCAGTTATTGCAATAATTATTAGTAAAGACTCAATAAACACAAAAACAGTTGTTTAGCTTATTACATTGTATACATACAGGTATGTGGTTATGTATCATTTCGGGAGTAGTCGTGTTATAAGGCACCTTTGTTAAAATTTCAAATTATTATCCCATACGTCTCTCAGCTTTCTCACTTTTCTTGCTTTTCATATTTCTAACGATTCTGGGATGTATTGAAAATATATCTTGTATCCGTCGTATTTTTGTCTCCGTAGTATCTGAGGATCTATCTAACCAACCACTTACGCGATAGTACGTTTACCTAATGTCAGATATTGCTGTACCGATTTTAGAGAAAAGCTTATTTGCTACAAACCTTGAATCCATCACCACGATTCACTAGATAACAAATCGCGTTTATTAAGAAATTCCAAAAGGCCTAGAAATTTTTTTCAAGTATTGGCATGATTTTTTAAACGAAAGCCTTCCTCCGGGCTATTAGTTTTAGCCCACGAATTCGAATAAATTAGAATCAGAGTTCCCCAAACTTTTTTGTGTCGTAGACCCCTTGCCATATTTTTCCGTGTTGGGTAGACCCCCTACTTACCTGATATTGATTTCCTGTAAATTTCTAACTGTAGTGAAGTTTAGTGTTAAAAACTTAAAGTAAAAACACATGTTAATTTATACATTTATTAATTGAATTTAAATTAAAACTACTCAAAATAAAATTTTGTATCTGTTATGTAAAATATACGTAACATTAAATAAACAGGTGTCTGACCAATAAGTGCCAGCATTGAAAAAAAAATAAGAGAGATAAAATGAAAAAAAAGTGAAAAATAATTAAAAAAAAAGTGTTTTACTAAAAATAGTACAATAAGCGAGTTCGTTTATGAATTATAACATAAACGTATGTTCTACAATAATTTCACTGTTAGTTTGATTAAATTCCACTTCTTATACGTTTAATTTATCTAAAAATAGGGAAAAAATTAACGAATTTTAGTGTGTACCTATCCTTGAATTTTCAGAATAATTTAAAAATAAATATTTTCTATAAAGGGGGGTTCTTTAAAAAAATCAATGCGGGCACTTATTCCCAATGCGGGCATTTATTGGTCAGACACCAATAAACATAAAATAAACTATAAATAAAATAACATAAGCAATAAGTCAATATTTTTAGTGAGAAGGATGAACCTGATGCTTTAATAATAAATTATCAACATTTGGCGTCAATTTTGTAAGGGTTAATCTTAAATCTCCTCGGCTAATGATGTCCAGTCTGTTTCTTTTTTTTCGTTAGGAGATTGGTAACAGCGCTGAACCCCCTTTCCACTAGGTATGACGATGGAAAGGAAATTAAAAATTTCCTCGCTACATTCCATAATACGGGATAAGTAACGGGTATGTTGTTTTGCAGCCAGAATTGCTGATATCCGTTTTTAAACTGAACCTTAAGTTCTTCGTTTGTACTTAGTACAGTTAGTTGCTCTTGTATTATGATATTTGTTTCTTCTATGTTACCATATGGATTAATTATCCACGGTGGTATTACCATAGTCAAAATATCCTCAAACCTAGATTTAAAATCTGAATAGAGGGCATTTAAATGTTGAACGTAGGTTGAAACGTCGTCTTCCTGGCATCTTGTCTGTGACAAATTGGTGAACTGAGAAAATTCGCCCCGTCCAATATTTTGCTTCATTAGTTTAACTCTGGCAAGAAACGCTGATAAGATGGACTTTGTTTTAATCAAATTTAAACTGTTGCCTTGTAATTGCAAATTAACCATATTAAATTTTGTAAACAAATCTGTTAAATAGGCGATGTCTGTTTTCCTCTTCATTAAATTTTCTTTTAAAATTTTATCTTTAGTATCCAGAAATTCTAAAATAGTCTCAAAAAGTGCAAAAAATCTTGCCTTTCGACAGCCAGCGTACTTCAGTGTGAAGGAGTAATTGATGAAAGTGTGTCTTCACACAACTGCGCAAATAACCGCGTATTCAACGCGTTGCTTCGGATTCGGTTTACTGCATCAACGACTAAATGAAGTGATTCATGCAATCTAACACTCAAATTTTTAGCAACTAAATGTTGTAGATGGATGACGCGATGTATTGCTAACACCCCTGACACATTTTGTTTTAAATAGCTTATAAATCCACGATAACGTCCAACCATGGCAGGTGCTCCATGTGTAGCTACTGATATTATATTTGATAAAGGAATTGCTTTTTCAATGAAGTAATCCTTCAAAACATGAAATATTGATTCACCTTTAGTATCGGTTATCAAAGTTCTTGCGCAGAGCAGTTCTTCGTAGATTTCTTGATTCATAATAAAACGAACATATGCCAATAATAATGCTGCATTATCAGGTAAAGTTGACTCGTCCAGTAGTATAGAGAAATGGGTCGTTTGAAAATAATTACATAAGAAGCTTTCAATATCAGAACTCATTTCATCAATACGTCTTTCAACAGTATTGTTGCTTAAGGGAATTATTTTAATGATATCAGATGCAGGTTTGTGTAAAACAGTTTTTAAAACCTCTTCAACGGCTGGCAAAATTAACTTCTCTCCGATAGTATGCGGTTTTCCGGATTTTGCTATAAGTAACGAGATATTGTAAGACGCCCGCAAACCATAATCATTTCTTTGTGACGTCGAAGCGAACATTCTGTCCAGTGTAGGTCTCTTCTGAAATTTATCTTTGAGTGTTTGAAAGTATTTCAAATCTTTCTCTGTTTTATCAGGGTGGCATCTTCTCAGATGATCTTGCAGTTTAGATGGTTTCATAGCGTCGTTGTCCAAAACTTTTTTTTATACTCCAACTACCACGAAGGCCTAAGGCCTAAACACCCATTGGGTACCGTGGGGCTATAGGGGGATACAGGGGAAAGGGGGAACGCCACACGGACTCTGGCGGGGGAACACGTGTGCATGCAACATGCACACATTCTGGCTCCGCCTACGAGATCCGCCGGGTGGTACCTCCACGTTCGACAGTCAGAGACCATCTACCACCTACGGACAATCACAACATCCATAGCCAAGAGAAAAATTTCTCCTGGGACGGGACTCGAACCCGCACAGCGCACGGCGACTGATCAGGAGACCGAAGAGTCTACTACTGCGACCACCGCTGCTGCCTTGCATAAAAGGCACATAGGCGATTGTTTGTCCGGCAATGATGGAATGAAGCCAAATTTCAAATAATCAACACTGTACTGTCTACATTACTTTTTAGATTCGGACATGGCATCAATCATCTGTGGGCAAAATTAAATTATTTAAATAAGACAGGAAATCCAGCAGCTGTATATTAAAAATAGTTTTTGATTTTTCCGAAAACGTTCCATAATTCGAACATCTTCTTGCAACAATTAGCTCGAATTACGGAGATTGCACTGTAATTATATTACCGGTTGCTAAAACTTTCAAAAAGAAACTATTGAGGAGTACTCGTGTAATTTTGCATGATTGAATATTACTACTAATAACTCAAGTCATGATTGGCGTAATTTATCTATCTTTGCTAACTACGAGTACAAAACTAAAATTTAATAAAATATAATGTACTTACTTTTCTCCAGCACTCTCAAACAAAATAACACTGACTCACTATAATTTGTGTTATATACTATCTGTTTATATTTTTTAAAATATTTTCTTAGCACTTTCCTTTTCAAGATTCAGGAAACGAATAAACGTATTTGTCCCACATTCGTATTTATAGAGCGACGAATTGAACAAGTCAGTGCAAGGTAGCGAAGCTCTGAGACTACGACTCTCAGGTTTTTACAAGTTCAAAATGTATTGCGACCACAAAGCGAATACCAACATCCTACAACTTACACAATTTTATAAACATATATAATATTTTTTTTACTTCATAGGTACTTTTATAAATAATGTATATGTTTTGATATTATAAGATAGTATGATGTAAGTAAATAGGTACTATCAATGTATGTGTTGAGATCCACTATCGTGGACCCCCATATTCATTTCATGGACCCCCAATTTTTTTTTCGCTGACGTAGACACCTTGCAGTTTGTCATAGACCCCTAGGGGTCGATATAGACCACTTTGGGAATCAATGAATTAGATGGAGATAAGCATTGGTTGTCGCCAAAATTGCATAGTCTTGGTGCATACTTTTGACTCACTTGACTACCAGTGCCTACCACAATGCTAACGTTGTATTAACATAATAATAATACTTCTCTAGCATGTACTTTCGTCCTGTCTACAAACTGAGATTTTCTGTGGATTCGTTGGTTTTGACCAGCGCATATCGGCTGAACTGCAAAACGAAATCCTAACTTTCCAGTATGTGTTCGCATCGACGTCAAAAGTAAAGTTTCCCGTCGTATTTTTTTAAGTAAATGGTTTCCGGTGGCGGCTGGCAGGGCAAGGCATCCGGTCGCTTCCACATATCCAACGACGCGGCTGCGGACATCTGTCACTCGCAAACTGCGCCCGCTTGCTCACCCGTGCCACCGGGGCTTATCCATTTTAATGAATCCAATTTTCCCTGTGGGATGCCGGAAGGTACTCTGCAATTTTTGGGATCGAAAACGTATATGCATATAAAGATTCGGTAAAATGAAAAGTCCTGAAATAACCCAGATTTTCTAGTAGCTTATTATGGCCATGCCAAATTCAAGGAATTTCGATTCAAAGAAGCACGTGTATTTAGGGAGTATGGTAGAGTAATTTTACTTGTGACGTTATCGGAAAGAAAGTTGATATAGATTTCGAGAAGCTTTTTTTCAATTTTCACTTTGCTACCGCGCAGCTGGTGCCATTATGGAGAAACAGTTTCTTCACAATATCTTCGTTTCAGCTCCTATGGGAAAAATAGTTTATGACAAATTAAACCAGAGAAAATTCCTGGGCTCTATATACAGTGCTTTTCTTTAGATGTCAAATCTGGCGAACGAGCTGGTTATTCCACAGGACCTCGACGGCCAATCCAACGACCGGGGAAATTGTTATCTAAATAATTCCTAACTTGTCTGTAGTAGTGTGATGGAGCATCATCTTGCTGGAATACAATATCAGTATCGAATTTATTAGGATTCGTTTCGACAATTTCGGTGATTAGAGGGTCAATAGTATTTTCCAGCATATCCAAATACATTTCCCCGGTTAAAGTTTGTTCGATGAATAGAGGCCCCACAATATGATTTCCCAATATCCCAGCCCAAACGTTAATTTTTTGTGGATATTTAGTATGAGTTTCCCGGAAGACGTGAGGATTGCTGTCACTCCAATAACGACAATTTTGTCTATGCACATTACCGTTGAGAAAAAATGTACATTTATCTCTAAAACAAATATTTTGGATATAGGTAGGATGCCGTGCAATGGTTTCCGTCATAGTCTCGCAGAATTATGTTCTTCGATCAGGGTCATCTTCAGTTAGCTAATGTGCCATTTGAATTTTGTATGGGTGATACTTATTCATTTTCAAAAGTCTCCATACAGTAGAAGGACAAACCTCACATACATTCGCGTTGGGGGAAGTAGACTGATGGGGATTTACTATGATCTCACCAATTATTTGAACTTGCTTTTCTTCCGGGATGGTCGGATGACCTGGGGGCTTTTTGATGTTTACACTACCAGTAGCTGTAAATTTAGATGCAAGTTCCCTTAAATATTTTCTACAGACAGGACGATTCGGGAAGCGATCATTAAAAATCCTTTCGGTCTCATGAAAGTTACGCGTCGACCCATAAATAAAAATCGCTTCGATTTATTCTTCCAGTGGACGAGAATTGACCATTTTAAAAATAGTTCAAACAGTATGTAGCACTAAAACCGAAAACTAAATTAGAATATTTTAACTGTACAATGATGTTTGTTTTCGTACGATATTTTGTCACTGTCAACAAAAAATAACAAAACAAGTTTTTATGGCTGTTGCTGTGGATACGGCAGGGAATTACAATTATTTGTAGAGATATGCATATCAGTGGGTTTGTGTTCAAGTAATTATTAAATGTACCACGATTTTGTAAGAGGTGATGGTATTGACTTTATATTCTAGGCTTGTAAAGTACTCAGTGTTACTTGATTACAGCAAGGCTTTCGATACCATTGACCATGATATACTTTGCACTAAATTAAAATGCTTTGGCTTCAGCTGAGCCGCTGTGCAACTTATAAAAAGTTTTCTGATAGAAAGGTACCAATATGTATCAATTTATTTGAACGATTCCAATAAATCCCCGATAACAATGGGAGTACCTCAAGGGTCCATTCTCAGTCCTTTAGGTTTCAGACTTTTCTAACAATATAAAATACTGCAATGTTCATCACTACGCAGACGACACACAACTATATTATGGTTTTCATCTTAATGATGGATCTTTTTCCTTTGATTTGATCTACATGCCATATATTACATTTCGGCTACTCATAATTTAACACTAAATGCTTCTAAATCAAAAGTTATGATTTTTGGACCAAAGCAGAAACGAATCATAATAGAAAATGAAAATCTATATCGGCTCAACATCAACAACATTCCTTTACCAGTTGTATCTGTAAGCAAACATCTGGGTTTATGGCTCAATAATGAACTAAAATTTGACCATCATATAAAGAAGTTATGTTCAAAATCTTATGGTATCGTCAAACAATTATATCCTCAAAGACATTTACTAAATAGTAAATTAAAATTACAGCTCTGTAACTCACTAATCGCCCAGCGGTATCCACGCATCAATTTCATTACCTCAATTTTTAATTTTCTGAATTGATCCGTTCAAAAAATCAAAGGGGAGTGGACAAAGAAAAGCACTTATACTAAGAGGTATAGAATAAAGGAGACCCAATCATGATGAATTTATTACTAAGGTCTTCTCGGTATACGCTTGTTTACGTTAGGACAAAAACCGTATTGATAAAGTGGTTTCTGTGAGATTATCTGTTGTAGTATGGTAGAAACACACTGTATAAATAATGTTATTGTAAACTGTTAAAAAATGTTAGGTATTGCAAATAATATAGGTCGCCGGAAATGCTGCGGTCAGAAGAGCAATACCTAGCAACAAGGATTTACAATAGAATAAAGTTAACCATAAATAAATTAAGGTGTTTGACCCTGCCTGATTAACATTTATTTTTTGTAATTCATGTTCGTAACTAACTTTTTGTTAGAGGGGCTAACTTGCACCGATCATAATCCTTTATGAACTGATGACAGCGTTGCGTACGCAGTGCAGAGTCAACCTACTTGACGCCATTTTTTGGACCCAACTCACTATACGTGAAGTTTGTCACGGTGTACTCTTTTTTTTTATATCGAAACAGCCGCACAGGAAGAAGCCTAAATGGCGGAACACCGCGGCTGCTATGATGATCCCAAAGAAATTTTGTTAATACGATTTTTGAACTACCTAAGGTTAGTAGAACTGGGAAAAGCTTCCTCCCGTAGATTGTTCCACAATCTAGACACCCTCGGGACAAAGGAGCGGTCGTATCGGCCAGTTCTGGATGTACGAAGGTTGACACGGTTAGAATGGGACGCCGAAGTCAGGCGAGTCTGTCTGGCAGGCACATCGCGCGGCGGCATCATGGAAGAGAGCTCTGAGGAGCAAAGCCCGTTGGTGTAGCGATAGAAAAGAGCTAGATCGCCGACGGCCCGCCGGTGCGAAAGAGTCCCGAGACTGTCTGTTAGGGAAGAGTCATCGATCAGTCGGACCGCCCTCCTCTGGACAGCATCGAGCATGGACAATGTAGTCGGGGCGGCAGCACCCCAAATGTGTGAGCTATACTCGAGGCTAGGCCTTATCTGTGCCTTGTATAGAGTGAGAAGGTCATTCGGAGAAAAGTACTTCTTAGTCCTAAACAAATAGCCTAGCTTTTTCCCAGCAGCTGCAGCTATTGAAGAGATGTGTTCGTGCCAGATCAGGTCCTCGGTGATCTGGACTCCGACCAGCCGAAATGAATGGCTCTTTGGTAGAACTCGACCGTCCATCGAAACTGTATGAGCGCTAGGACGCTTTTTGTTCGTCAAAGTACAGTACTGTGTTTTGGAAGCATTGAACTGTACAAGATTGTTGCGTCCCCAAGCAGTGATAGCCTCCAGGTCTCTTGTCAGAGAAGAAGTCGTCGCTAGTCTTCTTTTTTCTAGCTCAGCGGCAGAGATCGGCTTGTCACTCTGAATTCCGGCATGTAGAGTGCTGTCGTCAGCGAAGCTGTGGATTGGAGGTCGTTGATATGTAAGAGAAACAGTGTTGGAGCCAAGACCGATCCCTGGGAACACCCGCGTTGACGTTGTGGGATGAAGAGGAGAATCCGTCAATTACGACGGATATCTTGCGGCTAGAGATAAAGTCAGCCACCCATCTGCAAAGCTTTTCTGGGAGGCCGTAGGATGGAAGTTTGCTTAAGAGGGCAGCGTGCCACAGCTGATCGAACGCTTTCGTGATGTCAAGAGCAACGACATGAGCCTCACCATGAGACTGGATGAGTTTACTCCACAGTTGCGTGACGTAAGCTAGGAGGTCCCCTGTGGATCGTTGGTGCCGGAAACCGTACTGCCTGTCGCTAATCAAGCTGTGACATTCGAGGTAGTCCAGAAGCTCGCGATTTATGCACCTCTCCATCACTTTACTTATAACAGAAAGCAGAGCTATAGGCCTGTAGTTGTAAGGGTCGGTTTCAGATCCTTTTTTTGGGATGGGCTGTACATGAGCAAATTTCCAGTTTTCTGGGAAGGTGCCGGATTCATAAGGTATCTTTAAGAGACACGAAAGAACTGGAGCAAGCTCCGCTGCACACCTCTTCAGTATAATGGCAGGAATCAAGTCCGGACCAGAAGCTTTGTTGATGTCTTACGGTCTTATGCCTGAATGTTACCTCCCGCATAGTGTGGGGAACCCTTTGAATTGACGGCACTTGGGCGTTGGTGGGGACGTCCATGGTGGAGTTGGCAGCAAAGATCTTGGCTAGCACTTCCGGCTTGACCTTTGAGTCGAATACAATAGTTCCATCCTGACACGTAAGTGGTGGAAGGCTACTGTGTGAGATGCCTTGATAAATAAAAGCATCTAAAGAAATATGTTATACGCATAGCAATTACTTTCGACTCTTGTTTTCATTCTGTTCCTTTCATAACAAAGCAATTTTCCACTTAAGGGCTCCGTTTATGCTGCTGCTATATTTAAACCTCAGCAGTCGCGACAGTAAATAAAATTTCATCGTATTTAATTGTCCCCTTGCTCAAAATGTTCACTAAAGCATGAAATTAAGGGTGATTCCTACGGATCTATCCCTAA